AAGTGCGTGGGGGGGGGGGGGGGGGGGGGGGCAATTTTCATTATTTGCTGAACCCTGTTTAGCAAATCAGTTTTCCTTTGTTACTAAACATTTATTTTTTAACTACATTGTATAAGATTGGTCTGGTTTGATCTGGTTTTGTATCCTGTTTGGTAGGGTTCTACCCAGCTGCTCTGTATCATTTAAAAAAAAATCTAATTCATAAAATCACAAAAAAATAGTTATTACAAAACCTTGGAAGTTTTACTTTTTTTGTATTTCGTTGATGCACAAATAGTCGATGATAATAGTCTCATACAACATGTATTGTTTAAACACTGAAAACTGCTTTGAATTTAAAGTTGGGAAAGTCGGTCAAACTTGTGTAAAAGATCATCCAGTCAAAAGAATGTAATGAACTGTCCATGAGCACTGGAGATATTATATCCTCTTATGTGAGTGTGTCTTCACTTCGGATGTACTCGCCAATATCAGCCTGATGGAAAACCACTATGGACATGGGGTCGACCTTCCTACACTCCTGTGTGGTCTTCGCTGCCACTCCAAAGCCCTGAAAAGAGGTCAAGATGGTGAGAGCACCATCAAGGTCACAATACTTTTATGGAACAGTTCACATAAAAATGTACATTCGCCACCCCCCCCTCGATTTTAAGAAATTTAGCATTGCATCACTTGCTCACCAATGGATCCTCTGCAGTGAATGGGTGCCGTCAGAACGAGAGTCCAAACAGCTATGTTTGTTTTTATCAGTTGTTTGGACTCTCATTCTGACGGCACCCATTCACTGAAGAGCATCCATTGGTGAGCAAGTGATGTAATGCTACATTTCATCAAATCTGTTCCAATGAACAAACAAACTACATCTTGGATGGCCTGAGGGTGAGCGTACATTTTCAGCTAATTTTCATTTTTGGGTAAACTATTCCTTTAACATGACAACTGTTGCCCCATCTTGAGTATTTTCAAACAAAAATGTCTCACCAGCGGTACATCAGCCATGGAATACACCACCACTCCTTGGTACTGCGCTGTGTTTTCTGTGATTCTCCCCAGGCCGGACTTCATGATGTGGTTTCCATACAGGAACGACTGCTCTGATCCCGGCTTCACCCACACCTTAAACTACAATGGCATACATGAGGGGCATTACATTATGAAATATGATATACTGCATGCACATAGCCAGTCAAAAGTTTGGATGCACTTAATTATGTCCAAGGTAACTTGATTGAATTAGTTTTGTCTAAATGCTTCTGCTTAAATCCTTAAAATGTGTTTTATAGACAAACATATATGTGTTATAGACAACTAGGCCAATCAATATCAAGATAAAATCAAAAAAAGTTTATTTTGCAAAGAAATGTTTATATATAGTAGTATATTTTTACTTAATGCCATGTCAGCATCTTATGCTATTTTCATGGCAAAAACAATTTTAAAAATACAAGTATAACAAATACAATAAAAACCAGCAAACAAACAAGTTATTTTACATTAACATATGATAAAAATTCTAAAACTTTTTCTGGCAAAATTTTATATAAATATATATATACAAATTAGTGCTGTCTAACGATGTATGCGATAAATAGTGTGAGAGCGTATATATATATATATATATATATATATATATATATATATATACTGTATATTTTTTTTACAAAACAAAATTTTGTTTATTTTGATATTTTTTAATCACACATTAAACAAAGACAAAAACAGCCAAAAATATCTATAAATAAATACAGACATAATCAAGTCACATTTATTTATATTGTGCTTTATACAATACAGATTCACACTAATAAATAAGAAAATAACAGCGGTAATATTGGAAAATACAAAATCAGAATGAATATGTACCTTAGCATATGGTGCAAGGAAATCGAGAGCTGTGATGTGCAGACGGAACTTCTGTGTTTTTGTGAACTTTCCGAAACACGTGCCAACCGACACCAGCTTATCTCTGGAGATATTTGTAGCCAACTTCAGAATTTTTTCACTAAAATGGAAAAGATCACACAATTAGATTACTATTCAATTTATAGCAAATTCGTATTTACATTAGCGCTACATTAAACTGGCTACAAATTAATAGGAAACTTCCACAGGAGACCATATTTAATAGGAATATTAAAAACAAAAACAGCAGACAAACCTTACCTCATATAATATACTCGATCATTATGAAGTCTGAAGCAATAAGTCCCATCTGGCCGATCAATAAGAAGTTTGATATTCTCCCCAATGCTAGAAACACACAAATTGAGAGTACTTAATGCAACTTAATGCAAACATACTTTAAATCGAATTTAAAATAATCCAGGGCTCATTATGCAGCTCACATACACACTACTTATAAATAAATAATTATATAAATAAGAGCTGTAAATAATATTACAAAACCCATGTAAACATTGCCAAATATAATACAAATAACACATCATATATATATATATATCATACAACACAATACATATAATAAACAAAAGCCCTACAAAGATATTTCCTAATATTATACAATATACAAGAATAATATAAAAATACATTTATAATACAAAATAAACAATACATCTGAAGTGTGTAGAATAGTTTAGCTTATGGTTTTTACACATGACAACGCAATCAAGCTAATCTTTTGTTAATACATTTCTGCTCTAATTGATGTCACTTACTATTTAGAGAGTTTCTCAAACATGGTTTTTGTCTCTTCATCTGTCAACGGACGCATGATGGAAATAATAATTCTATTCTTGCTAAAGAAGCACGAAAAACACTGCAGCTCTCGCAGTGCGCCAGCCACGTGTTGTTGAGCTGAGTCCGTCGCACACAAGTGACGTCGTGCCGTTTAAATAAAGTTTTTTGTAGGGTTTTGAATCAACGCTTGGAACATGGCCGCCGTAGACGTGGAAGATGAGAGTATCCTGGCCTCGCT